CAATTCCTCTACCTTCAATGTTGTACAAACCATATGAGAAGAAAGAAGGAGATGACTCTGTGGTAAGGGTTCTCTTTTCCTTTTTAAGTCTTTTGCTGGATAAGGCAGGTAATGATCAAGAGCAGGTGCCTTGCCTATGTGTTGGGCGTGCAGGTGATAGACTTTAGTTTCAGGAATGAGAGATTAAACCCACATTTTAGACTTGAAAGTGGACTATTTCTTGCTTATGTACAAGGGTTGAGAACTCAAAACAAAATGACTTAAAAAGAAGGAAAAAAAAAAAAAACGTAATCATTTTACAGAATGAGTCACTTTCCATGATATGTGAATGACCCAGCCTGATTAAGATAGTCTAATGCTTTGTGCTAAACTACTTGAGTTAAACCAACATTAAGTTTTTCTTGAAATATTTGGCTATTTTTGGTCATATGCTCAATTTTTATTATATCAATTTAATGCTTGTTTTTGATAGGCCAGCGAAGGGCAAACGTGGTTGGCCGATGACAGTGTGTTGACTCACTTTGAATCTCTTAAGTTAGAGTCTAGTGAAACGGTATGTTATGATACCGAAGAACACTTGCACTTTATTGAAATATGCTGTGATATTTGGTACATTGACCTTTTAGTAACTGGTGCACTGTTTCTTTCATCACAACAGGGAGTTTCAGAGATTGCTGAAGATGAGCTTCTGAAAGATGGTGAAAGAGATGGAGGTGAAGTGCCTTTGGGAAAAATTATAAAGCGCTTAAGATCTCAAAATTCCAAGGCTAAAAAGGCGAAAAAGACATCAGCTGATGCACAGAATGCTGAAAATAGTGTTGATATATTGAAAATGGTCAGGGATATAAATTTGGATAATTTGGAAAAACCTTCTAAGTTTGAGTCAAGCAATGGTCATGAAAATCTTCCAAGCAAGAAATCAAGAATGGATCTAAAGCACGAAAAGGAAAACAAAAGAAAATGTACTGAGGCAACATCTGTCCCCGTTCCTAAACGTAGGAGGTCATCATCCACTCACAGTGCCTTCAGATCACCTAGAAGCACTTCCAAGTCTCCTCTAAGTGCTTCACTAGACGATGTAGACAATGTAAGAATTCTATCATTCAATCCATCTACATGAATGCTAAGATTCAGCCCAGCTCTGAAAATAAAATGTCTATGCAGAGAAAACAGTTTCAAGGCACCGAGTCAGATTTGTTGGTTTCATGCTTCCGGAAGAATGCTACCTCTTCGTCACAACGTAAAGGCAGAGCCTCTGACCGTGGTCATAATGATGAGGCAAATGAAGTTGGAGAAGCCAGTGACCGTGAAGTGAGTTGGCTTCAACTTTTTTTATTAAAAATGCATAATGTCATGGTTCTGTTAGCTGTTCAACATTAAACTTATGTTCTACCTTTATTGCAGGAGCCTAATGTACTGAAGGCTGACAAGGATGACCCAAATAATGATCTCAACTCTCCTGCAGGATCCATCAAGAAGCGGAAAAGAAAGAGTATTGCTGGTTTGGCAAAGGTAAGTTGATTTACAACTTCCAATCCTACATCACAGTGGTGACGTCATTAAAACTGGCACATCTCCCTTTATTGTATCATTAGTATGTCGTTTCTGAACTGATGCAGTTTTCTATTTTCATCCTTAGTGCAAATTCAAGGAAAGTGGAAAAGATGTCGAAGACTTGATTGGTTGCAGAATAAAAGTTTGGTGGCCAATGGATAAGCGGTGAGTGCTCTAAAAGATAATATACAGACACAACGTGTAGATTGAAGCTTTCCTTTTTGCTGTTTATTATACCCTAAAACTTTTCCTTTCATTTCTAATTTCCGTCTTACATTAAGCAACTGCAACTATATGATTATGAACTAGTTTATAAGTAAGAACTAGTACATAAGTAAGCACTAGAATACTTATTTGGCTCAATTTAAAATCTACAGATTTTATGAAGGCACAGTGAAGTCATTTGATACGTTAAAGAGGAAGCATGTGGTAAGCTGCTCTTTCCTTCCCCTATCATCTTTTGGATGTATGGATTACCTGTTGTAAATGTGCATTTCAAATAATTTTCACTTGTTTATGTCATATGGAAGATACTATATGAGGATGGAGATGTAGAAGTGCTTCGGTTAGAAAAGGAACGGTGGGAGCTCATTGACAAAGGTCGCAAGCCCACAAAGGTGTGAAGTTTTTATCAAAATTCTCTCTCTAGCTGATAGCGTTCTGCACTTCTACTTTACATTTCCAGTAAAGCAACAAATCCTGACATAATTATGACACATGACACGTTTCCTCATTTGCAGAAGTTAAATTCGTCAAAGAAATCTCCCTCAAAAGAAGTGTAAGTATGGTCTTTCTGATGCAAGCTTGTAGGTTATTTGTTCTTCAAAGTGATTTGCAAAATGTTTCTGGGGAATCTTTGTTAGCATTGAATGGGATAGTGGTGTTGATGTCTATGGTATGCCATTTTCATTTTCTTCAATTTTATCATTACAGGTCCCCTGGTCAAAAGAATAAGCGCGCAGGTGGTTCGCGTGAGAACAAAAAACCAATTAAAACGTGAGTGAAGTTTGCATCCCTTGCTTATTTGTCTGATTCTTTTTCTTAATAATGAAAATTGTAAACGTGATTGGTCTCTGATTTTCTAGAGTTAAAAGGAAAAGAACACCAAAGAAAAACTCGGGCGGGAAGAAGGGCGTATCAAAAAGAAATCATTGGGGAAGTAGGGACAAAGATAGTTCTGAAGTTTCGAATGATGAGCCCACCCTTACATCTAAAGTTGAAGAAATGGACTCAGGTAAGATTTCTCATCATTTTTCATCTTGATGCCATAGTGCTTTTGGCATATGATATATCAATTTGTTATGACAATGACATTCGATGCGATGGTGTGGGTAAACCTGTAAGAATTCTGACATGTAATCAAATGTAACGAGTCCACGTTTTGTTTGCGTATCTATTTTGTATGGCTGATGCATGTGAACTTCCCAGCCAGGCGGCCACTAGGAAGATATTTTTCTTGGCTTGTCTGAAAACAATTTCTTTTGCAGGTAGTTCAGAAGAGAATGCTGAAAATGTGGATGAGAACGTGACAGATGAGGGGGAATCTGACGTGGAAGTGAAATCTGTTTCTGAAGGAAAACGGTTAAAAGATGCAGAAGAAAGTCCACATCATACCGAGGAATCTGCTGAAGAGAAACCTGGTTCCAAAGGGAGCCCTGCTGAAGACATGGACACTATCCCACAAGATGCAGAAAATGGAAATGAGGAGATGCAACACTCAGAAGAGAAAGAAGCAGATGAACTAAGTGGAGGGTCAAGAGAGGTTAACGAGGAAGATCCGTCAGATTCTGAAGGGATTCAAGAAAAAGATGATATTTCTGGCAGTTCCTTGAAACAGGGGAAATCCCATGTAGAGCCTTCAAGTCTTTCTGATGCTGGGGATGACGAACTTTCTGATGATGAGCCTCTTGTACTCGCCTCCAGCCTTGCTTTTTAACATGAAGAATTTAGTGGATTTAAAGTTAAATTCTAGGTTTTAATTTTGTTTTTCTTGTGTGCCATGGATGCAGAGCAAGTGGACGCAACGAGTAGTGAAAAAAGGTTCAAAGCCAGCGGGATAAGTGGTTGAGCCACTTTGTACGGCTTTACCTTGGCTTGGCTGCAGGGCTGTGTGTAATCTGCGCTGTTTCCATTAGGCGTGGGCGGTGAAAGAAGAAGAATGAAGAAGGGTGGCCGGCAACATTCATGTAGAATGTAAAAATGACAGCGTAGGCATGTAATATCCATCCCACTGACTGTAGGTGAAGAAGTGTTAAAAAGCTTGTAACATTTTGGGCATCATTTAGCAAGTGACAGCACGGACGGACTGTACGTACTAGACCTGGTAGTGGTTAGCTGATAGATTTTGACATGGGATTCATGGACTCTAGTCTAGTCTAGTCGAGTCGAGTCGAGTCGACGCTAGTTTACCGCCACGATTTGTGTTTTAATGTCCCTGACATGTACAGTAGGGTTTTATACGTGGGATAATTGTTGGTTCTGTTTGTGTTATTCTTGCTTGAATCCTAATAACACCCGTGGAAGTGATAATTGGAGGGTTTTATTTTGTGCATTTGCTGCTTCTCGAGCGGTTAATTACCCGTTGTCGTTGTTGATGGGTTTCACGTGGGCGTAGGTGGATTCATTTTTTCTGATGAGGTTTGGTTGCAGAGTTGGAGATTGGTGAGACAGCGCAGAGCCTCGGGCAATTCAGCTGGGAAAATATTTGCAGTTGAGATTTTTGGTCAAAGTAACGTATTTTTGTAGTGGCCAAAGAAAGAGTCAAAGACTAAAGAGCATTGCAGTAATAATAGACTAAGCCTTGATTAAACTAATCTAATCTTAATATCTTTGTTTCTTGTGATGCACGTGCAATTGTGGATCGGAGAGGAGGGTTCACAACTTCACATGCACATGGGCATGCAAATTCTCTGTTGAATCATGTAAATTCTTGACCAACTCTACTCGCCCATTCACACCTGTTGACTTGATTTTTGGTTTCCTATACCAGTTTATTACTGCCGTCACCGCCACTCCCAACCAAATGTTATTTTCTTTTCCCAAAAACACGATAATTTATTTTCTTGTATTTATTAATGTAAAAAAATAATTATATTAAATTCATCTCAACTACGATAATAAAGATTTAAACTTAAGCAGAGAAAAATGGGGGAAAATACGAGACATAGAAATTTCGAAAGATAAATACTGAGTCAAGAGTCAGCTCATCGGACGGTCTCCACTCGTCAATCGGATTAGAGCAGGTGTTGCTTGAAAGGCACGTGCCTGCGTTAATCCAGTGGGCGTCCGAGTGCCTAAGTTTGGCGGTGAATAAAGCCAGCCAGAGGGAAAGTGGGGGAGGGCCATAAAGTCCAATTCCAAGAAATAATTGGGAGAATTCGATATTAGTACTCCTTGATAAATCCTTGAAAAATAAATCTCTCCTGCCTGAGTGCCTGGTAAGTCAAGTGATGTTACGTGACTCTCCTTCTTTCTTTCTTTCTGTCTCTCTGTCTTTGGTTTTTGCTTTTCATGATGTGCTTCTAAGCTACTGCACCTGTTCCCAGATATGATCCTACATATTAATTATTTTTCTTTTCTTTTTCTTTTGTTAGTTTAGTTTGTTGAGTGAGTGAGTGGTGGCTAATGGCTATTCTTTTCTTGCAATTTTTTGGTTTTGCTGCCTTTGAGTTTCTTGGTAATAATATCGATATAAAATATGAGATAGATTATCTGGTTAATCTGGTTATTGGTTGCTAAATCTAGCTTCTTTTTTCCTCTTCTGTTTTTAATTTTCTGCATCGTCTCCGTCTTTTATTTTCACACACAAGTCAAGTGATTTATACGTATATTATTTATGGGTTTTATTTTATGTGATCGATCTAAGATATTCTCGAATAATCACATCTCTAGTCCAAACCCTTTTGCATTACCTTAAATTAAATAAATTGTCAAGCCAATGTTATGTGGAATTGTTAGTAACTGCGCCTTTTCGTTCAATGAGTTTTTGTCCTTCTTCTTTCACAATATTCTGTGAGGTTCCATGGAAATTGTTTGCATTTTGTAAATGTTTTGGTTGAATGCCCTCTGGATGGATGAATGCTGGGTTTCTTTTAAGGTTGGGTTGGGTACTTGGGAAGTGCAAAAGAGTATAATTAAGTAATATTCATTGCGTGGTGGTGTTCTCGTGCATTTTCTTTTCAAACTTGAAAGGGTTAAATATGTCTGAGTCATGTGCAGAAGTTGGCAAATTTCTGGAAAGTGGAAAGGAAGTATGGCAGATTCATTGGGTTTGATAAAAGTTACAGTCGTGCAAGGGAAAAGACTGGTCGTCCGGGATTTCACGAGCAGCGACCCTTATGTTGTTGTCAAGTTGGGCAATCAGGTAACGAATTTGCTGTCCTTGTTCTTTCTCAACTGTTTTTATGAGGATCGTAGTTATGCTTTAATACTATGCAACCCCGCACGCGCGGAGACACAGATCCTTGTTCACAGACACACGGGATTTTCAGGAACTTCACTCTGAGCTGAAGTGCATTGGATTGTCTTCAGGGGAGTTTGTGTAGCTGTCCTCATAGGCTTCCTTGATAAAGACCTGTCTTTATATTCCAGGGAGGATGAGTGTCAGTTTCCCTTTTAACTCACATTGAATCAAATTTCGTACAAAGGATGTTGAATGAAGGCAAAGTTATCTTCAATGCATAATGAACTAGATCAAAAGATTCTGTTGATATGATTACGATAACGAAAGGGCTACCTCGCTTCTTTATTGTTCAGCCCTTCAACTGGAAAGATGTTAGTTTTACAAACTGACTGAGAAACTTTGATATTTCACCCAGTCTTTACTGTAGCCAGAATAATATTTGAAACTCGATGCATGATTCCTTCTTATAGTTTTTCAAGAGATCAAATTACTGAAATTGATGGTATTGAGGAGATTGTGCTTTGTTCTTCAGAAATAAACACATGCTAATATTATACTTGTTTTTCAATCACTCACACTTGAGTGATCTGCAGAATTGGAGTATCCTATTGTCTATGCTTCAAATTTCATGTATTGGGTTTTCATAGTTCAGGCATAAGTCTAGATTAGAATATCATTTCAGCGTTTCTTTGAGGGGCCTGTTTGTAAACAGGCTTATAGTATCTTACATATTAATTACTTTGGATGTGAATAAAGTTGTTTTACAATAAAAGTTTGAACCTGGAAGCGGCTGATTAATATTATCTGCACCAGGTGGCAAAAACCAAGGTTATCAACAGTTGCCTCAATCCAGTTTGGAATGAAGAGCTAAGCTTCTTCCTTAAGGAGCCTATTGGAGATCTAAGTTTGGTAAGTTAGGCATTTGAATTTGATGGTAGCCAGTTCTTCTGATGAGCTTAATAGATTATGTTATGTTGTTTGGTAGAAGCCTGTGTTTTACCAAAATTAGACCATTAATTTTCCTTAATTTGTATGTATTTCATTGTTTCAGTTTTGGTTTGAGTCCAGTTCATTTGTTTTCTATTTTTCAGGTTTTATAATGTTCACTGTTGTTTTAAAATCAACATTCCCGAGTAATTTGCTAGTGATTGATTATATAATTGGTGAAAATAACTTTGGAAATATTATTGCCATTACTACTCTTTTAAGCTTGTACGACATATGACTGAAGTGATTTTTCCATAGGAAGTGTTCGACAAAGACTTTCTGAAGACGGATGATAAGATGGGATATGCTCACCTCAGCCTTCAGCCTATAGTCTCCGCTGCTAGATTGAGACAGATTTTGCGTGTTTCTTCTGGTGAGACAACATTAAGGAAGGTTGTCCCAGACGGTGAAAACTGCCTAGTTAGGGAAAGCTCCATCACAAGTGTAGACGGTGAGGTGGTGCAGAGTGTTTGGTTGAGGCTTTGTGATGTTGAGTCAGGGGAAATCGAGCTGAAAATCAAGTTACCTAATGCGCCGGTTGCGTAGTGCGGAAGTTAGGGTTGGCTTAGGTGCAGACCTCTAACAAAAGGGAGAAGAATTGAATCTTCATAGCATGGTCATTTTCTGTTGCAACTCCTCTAGGAATGCCAAGGAGATTGACAATGTAGTGGGATGAATTTGTACTAGCTCAAGGGGGAGTGGGTTGTTTCAACTTCTGAAGACTCTTTAATTTGGAATCCTGTGCATGTATGAATGTATTGTAGGTTTTATGGATAATGGTGTCATCCAATTCTTCTTTAATTATGTAGAAACTCAATTTTTCAGGGTTTACTCGACTGATCTGAAAAAACTATTGCAAATGCAAATGTGAGATCAGGCCAGTTGCTCAAGATAGTATACTCGTCTCTTCGTTCGGGTTCGAATCCACTCCTCTAATATAGAGTAGTATAGAGTAAAGTTTTGTGAAGAAGATAACATAGAAGAGTTCAGAATTTATTATTATTATTAGTATTATTATTATTATTATTATTATTATTATTCTTTGTAGTGAAAATATTGTTGTTTTGTGACGGAGTAAAAATGAAAAAAAGTAGAATAGTTTTGAAGACCTAATCCCAATAAGTTGAAGAAACACGTTCGGCCCGTTAAGTAACTCCAAAAGGTTTGGCCCATTCCATATGGCCCACTATTATATTAATAAGGGATGTCGTGTTTGGGATTGGCGCGTAAATCGTAGTCGATGAGTTTGAGGAGGCTGAAAGTGACGGTGGGTGAACCGGCGAGCCCAAGCCCTAACATCGACGGTGACGATACCATCAAGGCCAAAAGGCAGACGGTGGGTCTGGGCAATGGAAGCGAAGTTGTGTTCATACCAAGACTGATAAGCTTCGATCAGGCTTGGAAATGGTTCGATTACCTCGACACCCAAATCGCTTGGACCCGACCCACCATTCGTGTCTTCGGCCGCTCCTGCCTCCAGGTTTCTCTCTCTCGCTCTCTCTCTCTCTCGTGTGTTTTGCGTATAAATATGCCTTCTTTCGTCTATCAATTATGTTATCTTGGTATTGTGGATTGTTCAATTCTTGTTGCAAGATGATTAATGTGGGAATTTATGATGGTTTGCAATGTGGTGGGAAAGCTGTTTAGAAGTTGGGTTAAATACTGTTTATGATTCTACATGCCTTAATTGAGGAAGGGTTGATCGAAATTTGAAATTTGGACCCAATTAGTTTGTTGGTAATTTGGTTTGCAGCCTAGAGATACATGTTATGTAGCAAGCCCAGGACTTCCCCAATTGGTTTACAGCGGGTACCAGCCTCGTGCCTATTCATGGGATGATCATCCTCCGCTTAAACAAATCTTGGAAGCGGTAACACGATTCATTATCATAATAAATCCTACCATTATGGTACCGTGGCTCATCATGTGTTCGTTTACCTTGCTTAGGTCCATAAAGCTCTTCCTGGAAGCAGTTTTAATAGCTTGCTCTTGAATAGGTATAAAGGTGGTAATGACTATGTTGGCTGGCATTCTGATGATGAGAAGCTTTATGGTTCTACTCCTGAAATTGCATCCTTAACCCTTGGATGTGACCGTGAATTCTTCTTGAAGAAGAAGAAACCCAGTAAAACAGTCCAAGGTATGATCAACTGTTTTCTCAATTTGTTACTTAACCTAGTTTTCATTGTTTTTGTTATGGTTTGTTCATTTCGTGGGGACTGTTGACAGTTAACTACACATATAGCCACAAAAGTATTATCCGCAGCAGCTTTCCATATGCACAACTAGAAGCTTAGGACCCATTTGAATAACTGTCACCGTAATTTTTATGAAATAACATAAAACTTGTGGTGTAAATGCCAGAGAGAAGAGATGAGCAAGAACCTGCTAGTAAGCGCATAAAGAGGAATCATGCTGATCAGCACTCTTTCATGCTTAAGCATGGATCACTTTTGGTGATGAGAGGTTACACTCAAAGGGATTGGATGCACTCGGTGCCTAAGCGGTCAAAAGTAGAGGCAACTCGTATTAACCTCACCTTCAGGTGTGTTGTCAGATAGATTATAGGCTATTATAGGATTAAAAGGAGAGTATTTGTACATCTTGCTCTTTCTTTTATGCATTTGATGCAGAAATGTTGTTGAAGAACCTGGTGCAACTGCGGCTATGTAACTTCACCACATCGGTGCTTTGTCCTAAAGGAATAATGCAGAGCTGATTTCTTGGTCTTTTTGTTCTTTTGGGGCCTTGTATGTTGGTTAGTTATGAAGATTGTGGATGTCTTGTCTGTACCAGTTCAGTTGGTATGTGCTCGTATGTATGTATGTTATATTTCTTTGGGGTAAAACCGGATTTACAATTCTCTGTTAATTGCTTGGCTGGTAAGGTCCTTTGCCCTTGTGAGTGAAAGAGTGCGGTAGATAAAGCTTGTTATGAGTCTTGTTGTAGTGTGAGAGTGCTGATATATCTTGAAGCAGGTACCATTGGGTTCTATATGTCAGACGTTTTGACTCTGGAGTTCCTATTTGACCTCTCTTCTAATTTAAGTGCAAATGAAAATGTCAAAATTAGCGTGACCAAATAAATAGAGGAAGGATTGACATATTCATGTTTGATTGATGCGTTTCCGAGTATTTCAGAGATGAAGCAGTGCAATGCTATTAGTTTTAGTTGTGGGATGCCTAACATCACTGCATGATCTCGACTGCAATAATTTGTCTGTAAATTTCTGGTTTTTTTCTTTCGCTCGAGTGTAAATTTCTAATCCAATCTTAATATAATCTAATGATTATTGATAGAAAAGTGAAAGATAAAAAAATCCAATAACCAAACACAGAAAAAAAAGTGTAAAAAAAATGAAGGCTGCCTATCTTGGGAGTGGGGTCAGGAGTGGGTGATGTTTACGGTTCCCGGCGTAGAGTGATAAAATTCTGGGCTGAAAAACTGATGATAAACATCCAGCAAAACAGGCAACGACAGTGATGATACCATGAGCATGGGTGGCGCAAGTCAGAAGAAAAAGACAAAGGAAGGTCGGTCACGACTCACGTCATTAATTAAATCAATTAATTACTTTGAAACGATAAACACGAACAATCATCAATCATCAATCATGCTCATGGGATAATCTTCTTCTTCTTCTTCTGCGACCCAACCTTACGAGGCACGTACTCTCTCTCTCTCTGTTCGTTTGCAATTGCAACGGCGATCCTCCATCGCTCATGGCTCCTCCATCTTCTTCTGATCCTATTCATCCTCGAGGTAAAGTAAAACCCCCCTCTTTCCTTCCCTCCCTCTCTAACTGCGCTGCTTCAATTTTCCATTTCTTCTTGTCTCTTTTTTTTTTCCCTTCTGATTTGGGGGGACGGTGTTTGCTTGTTTGTTCAGATGTGTGTATAGTGGGAGTCGCCCGCACGCCCATGGGTGGATTCCTTGGCTCCCTCTCCTCTTTCTCTGCTACCCACCTCGGTTCTCTTGCTATTCAATGTCTGTCTAACTTCTCTCTCTCTCTCTCTCTCTCTCTCTCTCTCTCTCTCTACTTTTTCTGCTATTAGATTTATGATTGTTTCGATCAACTGTAATAAAATACATGGTTAGGTGCTCTTAAGAGAGCAAATGTGGATCCTTCCCTTGTGCAAGAGGTCTTCTTTGGGAATGTTCTAAGCGCCAATCTTGGCCAAGCTCCTGCCAGACAGGCTGCTCTCGCTGCCGGCATCCCCAACTCTGTCATTTGCACCACCATTAACAAAGTTTGTGCTTCTGGGATGAAATGTTAGCTCCCCCTCTCCCTTAATTTGTTTATTTCTGTCACTTGTGATCTTCGTCACTGTCACTGATCCCTGGCGGGGTATTTCTTTGTTCAGCCACAATGCTTGCAGCACAAACCATCCAGCTGGGTCTCAACGATGTCGTTGTCGCTGGTGGCATGGAAAGCATGTCCAATGCCCCTAAATATCTACCAGCTGCCAGGTTAGCCTTTTTCTCATTTCCTTATTGTTGTGTCTACCAGCTACTGAAAAATTAAGATATTTGTAAGTCTCATGATTAGGGGACTTTAAGTAAAATCTTGCAATCCATCTTCCACTTGAAGGGCTTACAATCATGTTGGTGCGGTTCAGTGTGCTCCTAAATGTACCTAATTTGTGTTCGTGGCTCTAATTTGCAAACAGGCAGGGGTCTCGATTAGGACATGATACCATTGTCGATGGCATGCTTAAAGATGGTCTTTGGGATGTCTATAATGACTTTGGAATGGGAGTTTGTGCAGAAATATGTGCTGATCAACTTTCCATATCAAGGGAAGAGCAGGTGGGTCTCTCTAGAGATTGACCTGCTAAATTATATTGATGCATTTCATCTTTAGGTGTTCTGCAATCAAATAAATTTATCTGAGAGATGGCTTTTCTTGTACTTGTGGCCACATCAGATTCATAAATTTCTGTGCTTAGTGGGCTTAGAAAACAGACTGCTTAATCCATCAACATTGGAACTGTAAAATCTTACAGTTCAGTGTATGTATTTTGACATATAATTCCCTTGTCATACTAAGTTTAACTTACTCTTGTCACTATCTCTAAGATTGGGCTATATTAATGTTTCCTTGCAGGACTCTTATGCTATTCAAAGTTTTGAGCGTGGACTTTCTGCGCAAGATGCTGGTCTATTTAAATGGGAAATGGTTCCGGTGTGATTTCGTACTGTACTAAACAGCAGAAACTTTTCAGCTTATGCTGCAGAAAATGCCAATTTTAACTCTCAATCTTCTGCTGCAGGTTGAAGTTTCTGGGGGAAGAGGAAAGCCTTCCTCAACTGTTGACAAGGATGATGGTTTACAAAAGGTAAGCACAATAGGTGGGCATGGGATAAACTTACATGGACTACGTTTCTTTTAAAGTGATAACTACCATAGTTTACTTTGCAGATCAGAATTGCAAAACTTTTCAAGTTTTAGTGATCAAAGTATATTACCTATATCTTGATTTCGACTAAATGTTGTAGATTTTCTTGACAAGGAAAGTGGGGATTTTAAATTGGTTGAACTTCAGTCTTTGGTTGTAGTGAGTCAAAATTCTACCTCTTCCAACCACTTTGTTCTCCCCCTCATTTGACAATTAACATAACTTTTGAACTTTAATTTCACGATTTTGGAGGTCTATAAAAATTTCATTCCTGTATTATGATTTCATTTTCCAGCATCAAAATATCAAATGCACTTCCATTGTCATATGTTTTATCTGCCTTTTGCTAGTTTGATGCTGCAAAATTAAAGAAGCTTCGACCAAGTTTTAAGGAGAATGGGGGTTCTGTTACTGCTGGCAATGCTTCTAGCATAAGGTCTCTCTCTCTCTCTCTCTCTCTCTCTCTCTCTCTCTCTCTCTCTCTCTCTGGTGCTTATCTCATTTTTAACGAAGCATAATGGGTTCTGTTTTTCTTGGGCAGCGATGGTGCAGCTGCACTAGTGCTAGTGAGTGGGGAGAAGGCACTTCAACTTGGGTTACAAGTAATTGCTAAGATTAAGGGATATGCTGATGCAGCTCAGGTAGTGACATGCCATTTCTCATTTATCTTGGTTTGGTGGAGTCCAACTTGTTTTGATGCTAAAACAAGATTGTCTGGACAGGCGCCTGAATTATTTACAACTGCTCCAGCCCTTGCACTACCAAAAGCTATTTCAAATGCTGGTTTGGAGGCTTCTCAAATTGATTACTATGAAATCAATGAAGCATTTTCAGTAAGAAAACATGCTTTTCTACTTTGATACATCTTTTCTTTGATTTATTTCGCCTTTTCTGAAAACAAATACTTTTTAACTCTGCAGGTAGTTGCTCTTGCCAATCAAAAGCTGTTGGGCCTTAATCCCGTGAGTCTTTCATGCAAAGTTATTGAAATCAAAATTGATATGGTGCACTCTGAACTCTTAAAACAGGTCATTTATTTATTTATTTATTTTCACAATTCGTCTTTCTTATGAATTCAGGATAGAGTTAATGCCCACGGTGGAGCTGTATCTTTGGGACACCCGTTAGGATGCAGTGGAGCTCGTATCTTGGTCACATTGTTAGGGGTAAATCAAGGATTTGCTTGTTTCTCTCATGTGATTGTTAATTTTCGGGAGTGTCCCTTAATTAAAGAGTAACGTTGTTGCAGGTACTGAGACATAAGAATGGGAGGTATGGGGTTGGTGGCATATGCAACGGGGGAGGGGGGGCATCTGCACTTGTTCTTGAGCTCATGTAAGACTTTTACATTTGGTAAGGCGTATGCTCGATTCAAATTGAATAGTGTCTTGTTCTTTCCAATTCCACCGGCTGCTAGTGCTATAACAATTGCCGATGTTTGTCCCCTCTTGATGTGTACCTCTGAATTTTCTACAACCTTAACGAGTAGAGGAATCAAATCACTAAGGTAGTAGTTTTGATGTTGCACCTGCAGGCCAATAACTTGGCAGGTGGGACCGTCTTTGTTATGACTGACGCCGTCATCATCATCATCATCATCATCATCATCATCAGAATGTTGTATAAGGTGTTTTAACTTTGTTTCGCAGCAAGTAACAGAGGTTTGTAATTGTAATTTGTATGTCAGTAATTGATGCTTGAAGAAAGAAAATAGGGATATGCCCTATTCCTCACTCGGTTCTTTTTGTTCTATCCTTGCATTCTACGTATGGAGTATGGTATATGAAACTACAGAGAATCAAAACCTTTTGTCCAACTCTTATACTACGTTATTATTACCAAGTCTGCTGTGCAGCGAAACAAGCACCAAATAGGGTTTAGAATTGTGTTTTTTAGAAAATCACAAAATTGTTTAAAAAAAAAAAAAATCATAGATTTTAAGTTTTAACCCCGCATTTTTTTAATACAGATTTTTTATTTTCACGAAATATTTTGCATGTGCATCAAGAAATACATTATAAGACATATGGAGAGGTTTTTGTTTTTATTGAGCCACAAATGTATTTTAATAGAATATTTAAGCCCAAAAGTAAAATATAAGTGAAAAGTATAGTTACAAGGCCTAAAATATTTTCAAAACAGTTTTCACCCTCAAAAATATCAATGGAAAGTTTTACATTTACATTCAAAAGTGACTAAAGACCGTGAGCAACCTAGAATTAATTCACTTATTACTCTACTCGCATTAGTAACAGGAAAAAAGAGTTAACTATCGTTATATTTTGAAAAATACAATGTTTTATTTTGTCTATTTATATGAAAGTTTTCGGCTAAAATATTTTATTAAAAATACATTTGTGGCTCAATAAGTGGTAAAACCAATTTCAATTGCCTTATAAAGTTTCTCTTATTCATGACGGAAAATATTTCGCTAGATAAAAAATTTGTAGTTTTCTAAAAAAAAAAAAAAAAGGTGGGGTAACCATCACTGTTTTCTAGGCTATTTTGCAAATTTATACAAAATCATCCTAAAATCTTTTTGCTTTCACCTTTACCGCACTGTGAGGTTCTGAAATTTATGTAAGAGTTTTGTTAATATTCTTGTAGATGAAGTCCCTTTTCAGAATGTCTTGGGCCCCATTGCAATTTTTGTCTTTTTTTTTGTTTTTTTTTTAAGATTTCGACTTAAAGATTCAATTAAAATTACATTTATTGCTCAATAAATGGTAAAACCACTTTTAATTACCTTATAAAGTTACTCTTAACCATGATAGAAAATATTTATCAAAAATAAAAATTTTCATTTTTCTAAAAAAAAAACGTGGGCATCACGGTTTATAGGAGATTTTGGAAATTTGTAGAAAAATAATCCTAAAACCTTTTTTCTTTCACCGCAACGTGAGGTTTTGAAATTCATGTACAACTTTTTGTGGATGTTGTTGTAGATGGAGTCCTGTTTCGGTAATGTTTTTGACCTTACTTCAATATTTGCCTATATACTTTTAAGTTTTCGGCTTAAATATATTCTATGAAAAATACATTTGTAGCTAAATAAAAGGTAAAATAGCTTCCAATTGCCTTATAAAGTTACTCTTAATCATGACGAAAAATATTCCGCTTAGCTAAAAAATTTGCATGTTTTTTTCACAAAAAAAAAAAAGTGTGGGCACATCATGTTTCTAGGCCATTTTGCAAATTTATACAAAAATGATCATGTAATTTTTTTGCATTCACCTTCACCGCATTGTAAGGTTTTATAATTCATGTATGAGCTATTGCTAATATTCTTGTAGATGGAGTTCCTTTACGGAATGTCTTGTACGCCACTTCAATTTTTGTCAATTTATTTTAAGTTTATGACATAAAGAATCAATTAAAAATACATTTGTGGCTCAATAAATGGTAAAACCGTTTTCAATTGCCTTATAAAATTATTCTTAATCATGACGAAAAATATTTCACAAAAATAAAAATTTTCATTTTTCCAAAAAAAAAAAAAAAACGTAGGCAAACCGACACGGTTTCTAGGCTATTTTGCAAAATTGTACAAAAATAATCCTAAAATCTTTTTGCTTTCACCGCAACGTGAGGTTTTGAAAATTATGTATAGCTTTTTGTGGATGTTGTTTTAGATAGGACCCAACTTTAATATTTGTCTATATACTTTTCAGTTTTGGGCAAAAATATTCTATTAAAAATACATCTAACTTAATAAATGGTAAAATAGCTTTCAATTTCCTTATAAAATTACTCTTATTCGTGACGGAAAATATTTTGCATAACTAAAAAATTTGCATTTTTTTTAAAAAAAAAATGTAGGCTAACCATCACGTTTCCCGGCCATTTTGCAAATTTATAAAAAAAAAATTGCCCTAAAATCTTTTTGCTTTGACCTTTACTGCACTGTGAGGTTTTGAAATTCATGTAAGAACCTTTGCTTGTAATCTTGTAGAGGGATTTCCTTTTCGGAATGTCATGTGCACCACTTCAATTTATGCCAATTTATTTTAAGTTTATGGTATAATGAGTCAATTAAAAATACATTTGTGGCACAATAAATGGTAAAACTATTTTCCATTATCTTATGAAGTTATTCTTAATCATGGAAAAAAAATATTTAGCAAAAATAAAAATTTGCATTTTTCCAAAAAAAATAAAAATGTAGGCTAACCGTCACGGTTTCTAGGCTGTTTTGCAAACTTGTAGAAAAATAATCCTAAAATCTTTTTTCTTTCACCGCAACGTGAGGTTTTGAAATTCTTGTACAACTTTTTGTGGATGTTGTTTTAGATAGGACCCCACTTTAATATTTGTCTATATACTTCTAAGTTTTGGACTAAAATATTCTATTAAAAATACATATATGACTCAATAAATTGTAAAACAACTTTCAATTTCCTTGTAAAGTTACTCTTATTCATGACAGAAAATATTTTGCATAACTAAAAAATTTGCATTTTTTTTCAAAAAAAAACATAGGCTAACCATCACTTTTCCCAGCCATTTTGCAAATTTATAAAATAATCGCCCCAAAATCTTTTTGCTTTAACCTTTACTACATTGTGAGGTTTTTAAATTCATTTAAGAGCTTTTGCTTGTATTCTTGTAGAGAGATTTCCTTTCTTGTGCACCACTTCAATTTTTGTCAATTTATTTTAAGTTTACTGCATAATGAGTCAATTAAAAGTACATTTGTGGCACAATATATGGTAAAACAATTTTCAATTGTCTTATAAAGTTATTCTTAATCATGGCGAAAAATATTTCGCAAAAATAAAAATTTTCATTTTTCCAAAAAAAAAAAAAACATAGGCTAACCATCACAGTTTCTAGGCTATTTTGCAAATTTGTAGAAAAATAATCCTAAAATCTTTTTGCTTTCACCGCAACTTGAGGTTTTGAAATTCATGTACAACTTTTTGTGGAGGTTGTTGTAGATGGAGTCCGGTTTTGGTAATGTTTTGGACCCCACTTCAATATTTGTCTATATACTTCTAAGTTTTCGGCTTAAATATTCTATTAAAAATACATTTGTAGCTCAATAAATGGTAAAACAGCTTCCAATTGCCATATCAAGTTACTGTTATTCATGATGGAAAATATTCTGCATAATTAAAAAAATTTACATTTTTTTTGCGAATTTGTAGAAAAATAATCCTAAAATCTTTTTGCTTTCACCGCAATGTGAGGTGTTGAAATTCATGTACAACTTTTTGTGGATGTTGTAGATGGAGTCCTGTTTCAGTAATGTTTTGAACTCCACTTCAATATTTGTCTATATACTTTTAAGTTTTCAACTTAAAGATTCTATTAAAATATATTTGTAGCTCAATAAATGGTAAAACAACTTCCAATTGCCTTATAAAGTTACTCTTAATCATGATAGAAAATATTCCGCATAGCTAAAAAATTTGCATTTTTTTTCCAACAAAACGTGGGCTAACCATCACGTTTCCAGGCCATTTTGCAAATTTATACAAAAATGGTCATATAATCTTTTTTCTTTGACCTTCACCGCATTGTAAGGTTTTGAAATTCATGTAAGAGTTGTTGCTAATATTCTTGTAGATAGAGTCCTTTTTCAGAATGTCTTGTGCACCACTTCAATTTTTGTCAATTTATTTTAAGTTTACAGCATAAAGAGTCAATTAAAAATACATTTGTGGCACAATAAATGGTGAAACCATTTTCAATTGTCTTATAAAGTTATTCTTAATCATGGCAAAAAAATATTTCGCAAAAATAAAAATTTGCATTTTTTCCAAAAAAAAAAAAATAACGTAGGCGTTAATCACGGTTTCTAGGCTATTTTGTGAATATGTAGAACAATAATACTAAAATCTTTTTGCTTTCACTGCAATGTGAGATTTTGAATTCATGTATGACATTTTGTGGATGTTGTTGTAGATGGAGTCCCATTTCGGTAATGTTTTGGACCCCACTTCAATATTTGTCTATATACTTTTAAGTTTTTAGCTTAAATATTATGTTAAAAAGTACATTTGTAACTCAATAAATGGTAAAACAGCTTCTGTGACATCCCACATCACCCAGGGGAGTGATCCTTAAATGTATATTTACATCTCTACTTAGCACGAGGCCTTTTGGGAGCTCACTGGCTTCGGGTTCCGTAGGAACTCCGAAGTTAAGTGAGAAGCCACATCACCCAGGGGAGTGATCCTTAAATGTATATTCCCATCCTTACCTAGCACGAGGCCTTTTGGGAGCTCACTGGCTTCGGGTTCCGTAGGAACTCCGAAGTTAAGCGAGTAGCGCGCGAGAGCAATCCCAGGATGGGTGACCCATCGGGAAGTTCTCATGTGAGTTCCCAAAAACAAAACCGTGAGGGCGTGGTCGGGGCCCAAAGCGGACAATATCGTGCTACGGTGGTGGATCGGGCCCGGGAAGTGGTCCCGCCGGGCCGGGATGTGACAATTTGGTATCAGAGCCTAACCCTGGTTGCGTGTGTGCCGACGAGGACGTCGGGCCCCTAAGGGGGGTGGATTGTGACATCTCACATCGCCCAGGGGAGTGATCCTTATATGTATATTCTCATCCCTACCTAACGCGAGGCCTTTTGGGAGCTCACTGGCTTCGGGTTCCGTAGGAACTCCGAAGTTAAGCGAGAAGAGGGCTTGAGCAATCCCATGATGGGTGACCCACTGGGAAGTTGCTCGTGAGTTCCCAAAAACAAAACCGTGAGGGAATGGTAAGCCCAAAGCGGACAATATCG